CGGATTTGACATTGCATTATATATATATATATATATATATATATATATTCACACACGTCTGAATCCAGACTGCGTGCCAAACAAGTCATGGTACAATATTCTTTATGAAAAGACAAAACTTCCGATGATTCGCATGTGGGCGGAATACTCTCAGGTTGCCCAGGCCAAGCCAATTGAATTTTCTTCAGCAATCCACAATCGGAGCCTTTGGCTAGCCGAAGCAATGCAGCGAGACGATGTATGAAAACCGCAATCCATTGGGGGCCGATGTCCAGTTCATCGCATCATACGCCCTTTGGACGAGGTCAAACGTTCAAGGTCCCCAATCCACCTCGATGCCCAATCGGGCCGGTGACCATTGTCACAAACGGAAGATATGGGTTGGCGTGGTTCGTATGTCTCTTCAGGGATTTTAGTCCATACCTCTAGGTGAACTACTAGTGGTTCACCAACCCAGTTATAGCCCTGAATGTCGGTTTTTTGTCCTCTGAATCTAGTAAGAAAGCATCTCCGCCACGAGAAGGCAGTGAGTAGGGCTACCTCAGCAAAGGCTATTCGAGACGCTTGGTCGTATGCGAGGATTTTACGAGACAAAACGGAAGGGTGATCAGCCACAACCGAAGACATCCATCCCCGACCATTCGGAGGCTTTTGGATTTGGTTTACACCCAAGCAGAAACAGAAAGGAGAAAGGCTAGATTATTTGGACATATTGATGATCTTTGCAGGAGATACAAAGTCATCATACAGAAGACATCACAGGAAGCAAGCCTAAGGGTTTTAGTCATGAGTGAGTGTGAGAATGTACAAGGATATGCAAAAAAAGAAAGAAACCTCGGCAGATGTGTCACAGTTCGATTAGCCTGTTCAACGAGTTCGCAGCAGAAAAGTGAAACACAAATGAACAAATAAGCCATCATGATGTATGAGAATATCCGTCGTCACTAAACAGGGCAGCACTGTCTCTCGTGGATCATACCAATAGAACTAGTCAATGCAATTCTGAGCAAATCTTAATGACGAACCCAACTATCCCAAGAAAGAGACAGATACACTGAATCTGGAGTCAAAACACTGGCGAAAAAAAATTCCATCTTCTTTTTTTCTCACTAGTGTACAACATCAAGCTTGAGAAACAAAAGAAGAAGGGGGAAAAAACGAAACGAAACATACTGGTCGGTCTGGTGGTATTTGTGTGAGCGACTGTATCCCCTGGAGTATTCACTCTCTCCGTGTTTTCGTTGGACAATTCGGCTTCAACCGTGCTTGTGTTTGGATTCAATGTGGTAGACCCAATCGTACGCGCCGATGGCCGACTGTTCGTATAGACCATGAAAGGTTCCAAGTGAGGTGCACCGGGGGCATTAACCAGATCTGGATAGGCGATTAGTTGAAACGGCAAAAGTCCTTGTGTGAACCGAGCGTGGTTCAGATAACTGCGCACGACAGACGGAATCTGTGCACCGGATTCCGATGTCGGTGTTTCCGTTTCGGGATTGGGTCTACCAGGAACGTAATCGGGTCGAAGATTGGAAAGATCGTCCTGGGAATTGACTTGACGAACAAAGCTGAAGTTCGAATCACCACCGGCTGAATGAGACAGAGACAGACAGAGAGTCATTAATGAAATGCACACGGTTGAAGAGAACAGAAAATCGTAACAAATCGCATATTGCAGGACAGTGAACTGAAAATAAATTGTCAACTGGGCATAACAAACCATCCGCGGGGAGAAAAAGTGTGAATGAGGGAAATCAGTCGTGGAAACTTTGAGCCGTTTGAACTGGAGACTAGAAGAGAATATGAAACGTGACACGGTGAACATAGAAACAGAATTCCGAACAGCACACAGAAAGACCATCATGTGTTTGGAATTCAGGTTCATGCAAAGCAAATGCGAAAATTTGTCACCAAAATGCATTGAAACGATGCGACGGTGAACTGGACCGGAAAAAGGATTTTCACGAGCACATATACGCTTTTAGATCCTCGCACGCACTTGGTTAGCAACACACGTGTGACCGTGATCCATCGACTGTTGGGAAAAATAAGCAAATAGCTTTTACACGCGAACGATTTGTGAAGCTCACCGAGAGTGGCACACAATGAAACAAGGCGCGAAGACGATGACATAAATGAATAAGAGTTTCAGTTTGTACGACCACTAATCATGCACTGTCGTGCACCGGTTTTGATTGCTGTCTTTTTGCTGCCCATTTGGATGAAGCTGTAGGAGAATGATAGGAAAGTTGAAGTAGCGTCGAAGAGAAAATGAAGAATTTCAGTAGACTGAGGTTGCGAGCAGAACTAGCCGAACTGCCGCAACATATACTCGATCGTTCACAGACAGCCGGATATCGCAACAGCGCCACACATGTCTCAAGTTAGGAAATGTCAAGCTGCAAGCTGCTTGTTTTGGTTAAATGCATCCGTTTGTACTGTATATTTGCTGATCTTAGAACATGAAATTCATAACTATCCTCAGCGCTTATTCTCCAAGCTGCTCTGGCGTCCTGTCACTTCGTATAGTCAACGAGACACATGGTATTATTCTCCCACAGCTATTCAACGTTTGTTCATGCTCCGCTTTAGAATACACACTTATTTGTATACCTTTCCAATTTCATATGTCCCTTACTAGGTGCGGAGATTGTCGTCTATGTTTGTACTACCACTAACCGGACCGATCGTGATCGATAAGAAAATCTGGTTTGAAATTAACGTGGGCATTTTATTTTTGTCATTCATTTACGAGGCTTCTCGAGGCAGATTGTGGGTGGGAAAAGCCCAGAGTGGTCAAACTCAGACCTGGCATGGGGGTACGAAAATCCTAACCAAGAGACTCGGTCAAATGGGTCACGTTAGGCTACCTAAATGGTGACATCGTGATCAATGGTTAGAGACACTGCGTGATACAGTTGTGTACCGTAAACACTGGCGTTTGTGGAGTTCATAAATTTCTCTTCGACTCTATCTTCAACCTTCCTGAAACTGAACACAAACAATTGCAAATTGGTGAAAAATTCGATTTGCCAGGTTAGTAAAACAGAGCGGCAGGGAGAAAATTTCACCGTAATCTCCACGGTGTTGATTATTCTGCTCGTATAAGCCATCGCGGGTAGATTATGCTCGCTTAATTACACAAGACAGATAATGAAGTAGTATCATACAGAGCGAACTTTGGCCTGTGTTTTGTATTGCAGCGTACAT